GTGGCTTCAGCTGGATTGGGTAATCATTCTGCTAGACTTGAGATTGATGGGAAGAAGAGCACAGGTTTGCCTTCTTGGACAAACAAAGGAAAGTGATCAAATTCCTCCACTTCTTGTGGTAGGGGTGCTCTCTTTTGAGTCCTCTGCTTCCTCCAGGTTGTGGAGGCCTGATTGTAGATGGAGCTCTACCTGCATATCAGATTGCAGAAAGGTATAACTCCCTTCCTAGCTTGGGGTAGGTTGAGGTAGGAGGTCCAACTTTTTTTTTTTTTCCCTGAAACTGATTGCTTTTGCACTTCCCTACAATGTATGTTAGCTACATGCCAGTTTACTTGTTCTTCTATGGGTGGGATTGCTGGATTCCACAGTGGTAGTCTGGGGTTTGAAGTTTTAGAGCAGAGTTTCTCTTGTTTTTCTCCTACAGAAAGGAAATTGGGGGTGGGTGGGATTCTCCAGAGTTTCACTGACTTCCAGCAGTTGACTCTTCTTTGTTTTTGCAAGTATAAGCCATGCCATCTGGAAGTTCCTGCTTACTTACTTCTGACCCTCAAAGGTTCAACCTGATTCTTCTCCCTGTGGGAGATGTTCTTGGGCAGTGGCCATGCCTGGGTACCTGGGGGCAGCAGAAGCTATAGGTTCACCCCTTAATCAGAGGCCATGTACTCCTGACTTACCTCAACTTCTCTAGTCCAGACACAGCCAAGGGACTGAGTCAGGGGGTGGAGGAGCCTACATAAGTAAGTAGTATCCAGTGGGGCAGCATGGTCCAAGTCCAGTGGAAGGAACCCAATGTGGTCCAAGTGTGGCAGAAGGCTGGCCCTGATTTTTTTTTTTTTAATATTTTTCTTTACTCATATAGGAGCATGTGCATATACAAATAGTGGGGGAGGGGTTCAAACTTCACAGAGTCTGGTCACACCATGATTCCTTTCCTCCAGTGCTCAGCCCACTGGATGTTGAGCATTAGTGTGCATAACCAACAAGTCCCAGGCTGACCAGGCCAGAGATTCTACTTCAGTTGCCATGTGCTTCTCTTGAGCAGTGTATTACCACTGTGCCACAGAACTAGCCCTGGTCCTGATTTTTGTCCCACAAAGCAATTAAAAAGGCCTTAGCCAGATCGGTAATATCTGATGTCAGATACTGAAGGAACTAAGGGTGTCACCTAAGCATTTAATCTTCAGTAGTCTGTCAATATACAGACTAGTCTACTAAACTGCAACAAAACGATTTACAACACATTTACCTGAAGCAAGTTCTGTATCAACACGGTCATGTTCTTTTCTTAACCCAGTATAAGGTATTGCTTTTGTTGAATAAACTGCTGGGGTGTGGGTAACTTAGGTGGTGGGTGGAAGTAGACATGCCCAACTGCCTATGAAAGTTCAGATTTTTTTTTAATCTTGGTAGTAGAGCCACTGGTCTCTAAGGGGGATCTGAAAACCATGGCTTTATTCTCAAGTATTTATTATATCGATTGAAGGGAATGAGGTTGGTGTATGGGGTATGTGTAAAGGGGATCATCCTCCTTATCTGACTCAGTATTTAGTACTGTCAGAGTCACAACTGTCATCTTCATTTTCTGGTTAAGGGCATAGAGAAGACATAGTCCCTGTGTTCAGGGACTAGAAGGGATGTTATATAAGATTCTAATTTTTAAATCGTATAAGTCCCCTCCTCCCCTCTTTTTTTTCATTGTCAGAAGGGGTGTGCACTCACTGGAGAGAGATAGACAGACGGGAAGAGAGCAAGACAAAAGCAACCTCCAATGGGGTATAGTCACACTGCATCCTTTCTCTTCCATTTCTCCGTGCTGCTAGGATTTGGGGCACACATACATAAGCACTCAGCATGTTTTTCAAGACACTAGGCCGGAACCCAAACTACAGCCAGCCCTGAGGAACCTGGTTCCCTCAACCACTAGACTACAAGACCAGCCCTGAGTCCTCTCATTTGGAGGGAACTCTCCCTGCCCAATAGCATTGACTGAGATCTTCTGTAAGGATCTCTCAATCATCATTTTGTCTGTCCCATTTAATAACCAAAACCCTATTGTCCTGTGATTCAATCTTGTCCTCTCCTTTCCTCCCCCTTTTCATCCCTTGGATTATCCTTTTGGTCCTCTGGGCATTGTTTCTCATTGTTAGATTTCCATTCAGCCTAACTTGTTGGAAACCATTTTGTTCTTAAAATCACAATGCAGGACATTTCAATGGAACTTTTTCATTACTTTCTCCATAGATATTCTAGGAGACAACAGTAGGGAAAATAGGGTCTTCCATGGGGGTAAGGCCTGTCATACGAAGGGTTCCACTGCACTGACCACATCCCTAGGGACAGGATCATAATTATAGCTGAAGAGCAGGTACGGCTTCATGAACAGTTTTCCAGAGATTTTGGTCTTAGGAATACTGTTGAAAATTAACTACTATTAATGGTTGGAAACACTGCATGCTCTTTGTGACCTAGATCAAAAGCAGTATGAGCTTATCTCATCTTGGTCCTATTGGTTGCCTGTTCAATGGAGGCAAACATACATTGAACAGGGGGTCAGGAGTTAGCTTCCCTAGACTGTACCATTCAGTCTGAGATACTTGGATCAGTAACGTCTCTCAGCAAACAGGTAACCACACAAAGCTGCATGAGACTCTCCTAGCCTCTGTTAATATCTGTCTTTCAGTTTTGATATTTAATTCTCAGAGAAGGACCTCATTTCAATAGTCTCATTTTCAGCAAAACCATCAGTGATTCTGTGAAAACAGGTCTTACCTGGGGTTTATAAGTGATCAGGCAGAGGGAGTTTCCTGCATGAGGACGTTTAATTCCCCCCATGCATTATCTAGGACATAGTGAGAGTTGCCAGATGGTATGAGAGTGTAAAAGTGGCCAGGAGCCACTTTTCCTTTTTTTTTTTTTTTTCTTTTTACACAGAGAAATTTTTGCTATAGGGCACGTGTGCTCGCTGAGAGACAGAAAAACAGAAAGTGAGAAATCATCCCTTAGGGAAAAAGGTCATGCGGCAATGTCTTCTCCTATATTCTCCTCTTGGGATTTTGGGCATTCATACACACGTGCTTGGTAAGTTTTAAGCTGCCGGGTCCAGGACTTGAACCACAGTAAACTACGTGGGAATCCAGTGACATAACCATTATGCCATCTGCTGATCCCAGATGTCCCAAAATTTTAAGGCTCACTGCTTGCATTTCTATTTTCACCCATTGTACCAGTTTATCCTTGTTCACAGGGAAACTGTCTGCATCCCAATTACCCCTTCATGACTAGGAGGCCAGCCGTTAATCAGGAGCATACCCCTTCAGGGAGCTGATACCACCCTGGGATGGCTGGACTGAAATACCGTGCCTCTCCCAGATGCCATGATGGCCCTGCTTGCTGTGCCAAACTGTCCAGCAAGTGACACCTGTTCCCTACCACCAAGAACAGCAGTCCCAGCATGTCACCCCCTACATGGTTTGTAGGAGTCAGAGTCATCAAGAAAAACACAACTCACACAGGCAATGGATGGAACAACACATTACTCACATAGAAAGGAGGCAGAGCAAGATCAGCTTCCATATTTTGTGTGCAACCCTACACTCTATGCAGGGTGGTGGTCAGTCTGCATCCCTGTTGGGCTGCAGGAAAAATAACCCCCTTCCCTCTTTTAACAAGAACAGATACAGCAGTAGGATTGATCAGGTGCCACACGATGCACATAATTTAACCAGAACAAAGACACATGAAGCCCAAAACAATGAAAAAGACTCGCAAACAAGGTGCTATGCAAGAATAGGCTGTGTGGGCTCTGTATCTCTGTGTATGAATGTGTTCCAGGCCCATGGCATGCTCTCATATAGCAATTCAAGGACAGACATGCTGCACATAACTGCCTTCTTGGCTCCCACCTCCTCTTTTAACAAATGAAATAAATGATGTGTTCCTGTTCTAATCAACTACCTCTATTTGTATTCCAAAACGAATTTCCTCTTGTCTTCTTAAGGATTTGGCTTTTGTAACTTCTGCCACTTTTTCATGTAACATATATCCTCTCCCTCCACTAAATCATTCCTGTGATCTTATAAACCAGTGTCTCCTGGTTTATAGATGAGCCATAAATAAACACATAAACAATTTCAATTACTAAGAAGTGAAAGACCTGAATTTTCACATGCTGTTTTTGAAATTTATTTTTGTCATTTGGGTAAAGTATTGAGGGATACTTCTCAAATGAACCTTTGTTCTGAATTCAGTATAACTTAGTACAAAGAAATTAAAAGAAGCAAGGCACATGAGCTAACCTTGGGCAAATTACTTAGCTGGTTTAGGCCGCAGTTTGCTGCGCAATGGCGTTATTTAACTCTTAGGTTTGCTATCTCAGGAGACTTCCACGGTTGCAGAATGCAACAACTGTGCCTGACGCCCGGAGGCCTTGGCACCCTGCAGTCCAGATGGGCCCAGTGTGTTTGGCGAAGTGGTCTTCAGGTACTCGCATTGGACCGGACGACAAACGCGCAGCTTTCAGATTTTTGCTCTCAACTTGGTCTGCCCAATTTTCCTTTCCGGACATGACCGCGTTCGTTCAGCCCCTGCCGCTGGGATACAACGCCAACCTCGCTTACCGAGCGGGTCCTAAACGCAAGCTGCCCTGAGCTGTAAAACTGAAGTTCAGTCCGGGCCGCGATAAATCCTGGGCGGACCTGACTCGGGGCAGGCGGTGGCGTCGCCGCTAACTGCGGCTGTTTGAATTCTGGCGCCACTCCCACGCCACGTAGAGCTGGATAGCCCGCCAGACTTGGAAGCGCCTGAGTGTGGCGCGGCTGAGGGCGCGCGCCGGAAAATTAGAGGGGCGTGCGGCGGGAGGGGGCGCGCGCACCACGCCCCGGAATGGGCCTAGGAAGAAAAGAGCCGCCGCTTCGCGCGCTCCCGCTCACTGAGGAAACGGCCACACCCCCTCTTCTCCCGCATCCAATAGGAGCGAGAGGGTGGGCCGGCCTCGTTCTGATTTGAGGGCGGCTATATAAGGAACTGCTGGCGGCGCGGCCTGTCCTTTTACGTCGGGATTGGAGAGTTATTTGTTCTGTTGCAGGTGCGTGGACGTCGCGTGTGCGTAACCAAGCTGAGGTGGTGGCGCAGGATAAGGTTGACCGCTTCAGTGCTGTGAAGCAGTCTGAGGTTTGGGCTTAGAGTGCTTAGTGCTGGAAGTTTGAACGTGAGAAGTACAGCTGGACCGACACGTGGCCTGCGCTTTTTGTCTTGGTGGCCACAGGCGTCGAACTTGGGGAAGAGGAGACTGCCCATCTGCCTCCGGCGCCGCGTGCAGACGTGTTGCTGGCCTCTCTCTTGCTGCGAGCTGGGGCTGAGGGTCGGCGAAAAAAACCACTTAGGGGATTTAGGGTTGAGGTTAGTTTAAGAGCAAAGGGCATTTCCTAACATGGCGAATGTACTCCGGTTGCCAGACTTTATTATTTCAAAATGGGCGACCTCGGCGCTGCGTTCGACTGAGGTGTCTTGTTGGGTGTTAGAACGTTTTGTGTGTATCTCGGATCAACGGCGAGGAAGGGTTTAGTGAAGAAATACCTTGAGCTGTCATTTCTGTAAGAACGCTTAATCTTCAATTTACCAATCCCTCACAGGAACGATGGCGCTGTCTTCCAGTGTTATGTGGAAACGGTTACTTGAAGATACTAAGGTAAGGATTGTTGAGCTTAGTTTTGTTTCAGAATAAAGGAGTAAACCTGTTGATACACAATAATAGAAAATGATAAAACATCTGAATTTGTCTTGTATTAGATATACAAGAAGATTCCAAAATGTGTGGAAGAATATTCATTAGAAAGTCACTTTAAAACCTGACAGTTTTACCAGGTATGTCTTTGGTAACAGTATTTTTATGACTGAACATAAGATCACACATACACTAAATAGAATTTTTTTGTCCTTGAATAGTGTCCTAAGTGTTGAATGAAACTAGATGCCACTGACTAGCAGATTAACAATGAGGTAAGTTGTGTGGCTTACAAGTTCTGTATTTCTAATATGGTTCTTGCCTTTTTAATTTACTTTAGTATGGTACATAAGCACTGAAATACAGTGACATATACATAGTATATGCATGTAAGATATGATTGGTCTAATAAATGATGAAACCTATCCCGAAACTGAATACCTGAAGAAAAACCTGTACGGATTCGGCTTCTGAAATCAGACCAATATGCAGAAGTAAAATGAATTTTTGTTACAGATTTTTAAGAGTTCACATGACTAGGAGGGTTTTTTTGTTAATTTTCTACCAACAGTGGGGATCACTACTTGTCAGAGGAGGCCCTGTCTGAAGTTTAAAGGAGCAACAATTTCTGTGAGTCAAGTCTTTTATTTTTTGTGAAGTAATAGATAATGTGTCCTTGGTCTTACCTATGATGATCCTATCCCGAACCTGAATTTCTGTTGAAAAAAATAAAATACGGATCTGGCTTCTGAGATAAGACAATTAGAGGACAGTACTTTTATTTAATGCCTTTAAATAAGCTCTTATAATGTTGGTAGTCTTGTAAATCTCATGTTTTCTCTTTCCTAGGGCTACCACGAGGTTTGTCTTATGAAAATGAAAAGCTGGTGATAAAAATATCCTGTTGTATGGGCATCATGAAAAAAAGTTTAGTTGGATTGTATATTTTGTTGATGACGAAACAGTATTTTGTTTTATGAAAAATTATTTTCCTTTCGACTAACCAGCCTTGTATAAACAGCTTATTCTGAATGAGTCTCATTAGTCTCAGGTTTGAATTTAAAATACATCATTGTAATTATAACTAAAGTTTATACTGAGTTGTA